CTGGAACAAGTACGATGGCGTTTTTGGCAGCCAAAATTGAGCCACCGAAGAGAGAAGTGGTTATTCTGTTCCATATAATTGTTTCGCGAGCATCACGTTCAGCTTTGGTTCCCACACTTGAAATTGCGTCCGACTTCGAGATGACGCGCGTCAACACGCAGCCGTTGCAGTAGCGCTCCAATGATATGGCGGCAGTACAGCCGCGGATGGGTATCGATTGGCGCCGGCTGCAGGTGTTTTGAGAGAGTGTGGAAGAGTAGGAGAGTACCAGACCGTGTGATCAAGCAACATCTACCTCCTGTCTTACATTCTCTGAGAACCCTAGCGGCCGGCGTCCCGTGTGATCGCGAAGTCTGAGGGCAGCCTAACGTGTCTTCTACAGTAATGAGAGCTGTACTTATCGATCTTTTTTTGCAGGATCACGCCAAGGCGATTGAAACTGTCCACCGAACAATGGTGGCGGTAATTCTGGGCTTTCTGACCTTCAAGGGCGTTTCCAGTGCCTTCATTTTCACACTGATGCTGGTCCCGCTCCTGGGTGGTCTTGTTCGATTCAAGAGTGAGTTCGCAGGGTCACACACACGCTCAGGCAATTGCCCTGTACTGTACTTACTTATTTTGATGAGTTTCCAGACGAATGGGGAATAGTCATTAGCCATATTGTGCTGCACACACCATGCTATGGGATGGCTATCTATCTTTCGTCGATGGTTCTATCGATTTTCATTCCAATTATGGGACGAACAGGGTCAAATCCCGAGTTACTCGTAGCTGTGATGACGAATTTCTCGGCATATATCATCGTGTTTTCCTTGGTAAGTCTCACCAAGATCTAAAGGTCAATGCTGTTGAGGCCGATTATGAGGGAAGTGTAGCGTTTTCTCCCGCTGCACGCCGCGCAGTTGAGCCACTCGTCGCGCGCGGCAGAACTGCAAGGCAATCGACAATTGCGGATGTCGCGCGCGACGATCGGCTACGTTGCGCGTCAGCGACCGTGCGACCCCAGCGATTCTTCTTCTAAATCTTGTACTTTCAGTTGCCTCTAGTGACAATAACGGCCAATAAACGAACACAAGAGGACACCACCCTACGCAATTTCATTGAAATGATCGGTGGCATACTGTTTACCGCCTCGGCCGTCTTAGCAGTTCTACATTTTGTGCACAAGTCGCCATACAGCTACTCAGATGCCTATCCAATGCCGAGACGCATCCAAATATTTGTGAGTGGATATCCTACCGAGGAATTTTTCACGAGTACCGTATTCCGATTTTTTTCCTGGCATAACGCCCAAAGTTTCAGCATGTAAACCGAGCGCTACGAGAAAAGGATCAAGGGATGAAAATCCGAGACAGTGCTTTATATGTGATTGCACAGGATTATCGTGGTGCAGAGGATATTCCGTTCGTGGATGGAAGTGAGCAGTTTTCATCTACCCTCCACCTTACTAGGTTGACGCCGACACACAAATTCAGATGGGAGCTGACATTCAAGAACTGGTTCCCATAACGTCACCAGGCTCTA